TTATTACGTGTTTCTTATTAAAAAGTAAGGGTACCAACCCTTTAAAAAGTCGATAGTACCCTCCTTACTAAAATCCTTGGTACTCTTAGAGAGTACTAAGGCGTGTACTAGTAGGCCTTTTAGACTAAGGGTATAACCTAGCTATTAAGGTAGACAGGCGTCGTTAGTATAGCGTAAGTATAGGTAAGGTAAAAGAGCTTACTCTTCTTAAGGGCGAACTCTATCTCTCTTATACGCGACTACTAGCTATATGTCTACTACACTTCTTTAAGGTACTAGCGTATCTCTGTCGTATCTCTACTAAAAGCTAAAAGATTAAGGTCGTTAGTAAACCTTACTACTATAAGGCTTATATAACCTTATAATAACGTATATAAGCTAGTAGTATAAAGAAGAAAGAGGATAAAAGAGAAGAGTAAGCCTTATAGTACCCTTATAGTAACCTCTTAGGACAGCGCTATCTTCTTATTAAAGAAGAGACTAGCTGTCTAATTAGTAAAGAAGCTATATACCTACTATATAGCCTATATAAGGAACCTTAGGTACTAGAGAGTATAGAGAAGGCGTATATAGTTTACTATATTAAAGGCGCCTTTAATATTAAGTTAGAAAAAGGACGCTATAGCCTTATAGCTCTATACTATATATATAGCGTTAACTACTATTTTAACTATAAAGTCTGTTAAGCGTTATAGCTAGTTCCTTATCTATATCTCTAAGAGAAGCCCTTATAACTCTATAGTATTAGTAAAGTACTAGCTAATTACTAACTTAATTACTTTACTTATTGTATTTAAAAGTAATATTAGCCTATAGGCCTTTACGGTTTGTTACTATTTAAGGGTCTTTCTAGGCTTATATAGTACTACTACCTTTACTACTTTAAACTACGTAAAAAAGTGCTTTAGCTAGAGGCTTGTAGTTACTATTAGCGTAAAGAGCTTAGCTAAGAAGCGCTTATATACCTTAAGGAAGCTAGTAAGTAGTAGGTTAAGGCCTAGTACCTTTTAGGTACCTGTCTTTTAGAAAACGTTAGTAATATCTGCCTTTATTATAGTGTTATTAATAGTAAACTATTAGTGTCGCTTGTCTTAAAGGTCTAGAATAACGTTACTAAGATTAGCTATTAATTCTAGAAAGAACCGCTAGCCTAATACTACTACTTTATTATAGTAGCTTATAGCTAGTACCTCTTTATTAGCGCCTTATAGAGACAAGAGTAAGGCCGGTTCTAAGGGTACATAGCTATAAAGCCTGGCCTACCTCTTAAGGCTCTAGAGTTTCTATTAGTCCTTTAAGGTAGTAGTAAGGGTACTACGCTAGCTCCTAGTTTTTATATCTTAGATTATATAGAGTTAATAAGTACTAGCCTACTAGAGGTTGTACTAGTAGAGCTTAGTTAAGACAGTAGTATATTAATAGCGTACTACTTATACTTACTAGACGGCCTTAAGGACCTTACTATTCTACTAGGGCTTAGTACGCCCTTAGTTAACCTTCTTTCTTAGGGTAGATATGTCTATAATACGTACTAGCTAAGAGGTAAGTAAGTTAACTACTTTATTAACCTTATAAGGTATGTCTAGTAGTTCTAAAGAGAGGTAGAGCCTCCCGGCCTTAATTGTTACTAGTTCTCGGTCTATTAGGGTCTAGCTCTATCCTAGTACCTTTATAGCTCTCTCTTAGTAATCCCTTACTTAGGTAGTAACCTTAATTAGCTAGGTATAGTAGTTAGATCTCTTGTACCTTAAGTTACTTTAATAAGTATACTAGAGCGTTACTATAACTTATACGTAGTTAATCGTTAAGTCTTGTTTATTATATTACTACTATATTAGCTCTCTCTAAGGTATATGTAGTAAGAGCTACTACTTATAGGCTAGACAGAAAAAGGTCTCTAATTTAGGGGTAGTCTTACTAGCTCTATCTTAGAGCAGGTAGTAAAGGTTTATATTACTTATAATGATCTATAGCCTCTCTAGGTCCTCTTTAGTAAGCTACTAGAAAGGGCTAGCCTAGCCTAAGGAGTTAGGAATTAGTAAGTATATTAACTAGATAGTAACACCTTATAAAGTAACGTAACACTAGTCGACGCCTGTCTTTATTACTTAAGTAAAAGGTAGGTACTACTTATAAACGTAAATAACTACTTTACTTTTACCCTTATAGACCTACTAGTACTTTGCCTATACTAAGTAGTAGACTATCTTTGTCTAAGTATTATACTATAGCTCTTAAATTACTATAACGTTGACTTTATAGCTATTATAAAGCGCTATTAAGGTAAGGCTATTCTTTCTTATAGTGTTTTAGTATATTATTATTAATTTTATTACTAAGAGTCTAGGATCTATAAGTCTTGTGTTATAAAGGGGTTACTAGACCCTTAGCTAGCTCCTTAGCTTAACATCTTTATAATGTCGTAGCTCTAGACTATTACTATGTCTAGTACCTTAATAAAAAGGCGTTCTTACCTTACTAGAGTCTTTACTATAAGCTTTTTACTATTACTTGTCTATAGTCTCTTAGGTACTATAATCTAGTAGCTATTATTACTATCTTATAAAGATACTAGTATAACGCTAGGTACCTAGCTAGTAAAGCTACTCTTAGATACTTTAAACTATCTAGGCCTTTATTAATATATAGTATATACTTACTTCTTTACCTTAAAGGCCTTAAGATACTAATAGTCTTATACTATATATAGTCTACTATAGTTAATATATTTCTTTTTACTATTAAGTTAAGGGTACTTCTCTTTACCTTAAGGGTATACTACTCTTATATAGTAGCTATACTAGGCCTAGTTCTTATAAAACTACCTAATATAGCTAAACTAGTAGTACTAGAAGTATCTTTAGATTTATAAGTTAGCTAAATATAGCTTATAGTTAAAGATCTAGACTTACTAGATTAACCTTTGTTTATATAGGCGCGTTACTATATTAGCGCTCTAAAGGTATAGTACTACTATTATAAACTTTACTATAAAGGCCTTAATAAGTTTAACTTTAACCTTTATAACATATAGTATATAGGCTTAGATCTTTACTAGTAACGCTCTTAGCTTTACTTATATAATCTGTTCTACTAGTAGGCCTTTTATAATTACTATAAACTTACTCTTATAAAGCTAGGCTATAAGCCTAAACGCCTTTTATACTTAGCCTTAATCTTAGATTACGTTCTTTAGTATAGCCTTCTTAAACGTAAGGATAGTGTTACTACTAAGTAGCTAGTAGGTTACTACTACCTTAGCGCCCTTAATTATTATGTTAGCTACTATTACTACTTTAATAGTACTATAACATACTAAGTCCTTTGTCTATTTGTCTACCTTAATCCTTAGCTCTTTAATCTGTCTCTTTAGTATAACTTATACTCTTGTTAAGTACTAGCTTACTACTAACGTGTAGGTAGCCTAAAGGGCTACTATTACTACTAGCCTTTAGAAGGCCTCTTCTAACATTATTCTTAATTATCTAATCGTTACTAGGTTATTATTAGAAAGAGACTTAAGGGTACGTAAGAGAGTTGTTGTATTTATAGCTCTTATCTTTACTACTATTATTATTATAGTAATAAGGTCGTATAAGAGACACGACGCCTCTTTCTCTTTACCTAGTATTATATAGGCTTTAATCCTTTATATAATTTTCTCTATCTTATTATCTTTATTACTTTTACTACTCTCTAGCTCCTTACTATAGCTCTTAGTTAAGGTATAAGAGTACTAGCTCTTACTTGTAAGTAGGTAGTATTAGCTCTGTTTAAGTCTAGTATACCTACTATCTGTTACTATAAGCTTGCCTATAGTCTACTAGTACTTTAAAAGGTATCTAAAGGTACTAATTTTAATTCTATTGTTTATTTTTAAGTTTTTAGGGTAGTAAGAGGTATAGACAACCGTTTTTTTTTTTTTTAAAGATAGAATATAGGTTTAATAAAAAAGAGATAGATATCCTTTCTTAGTTCTTATTATATAGTAGTATTACTATATTAGTATTCTCTTAAAGAGGTTTAAGACAAAGGTAGAATACTAGACTAGACTTTTTATAAAGGCCTTAGCCTTAGATAAGGCTTAACTAATTACGACTCTTAAGTAGTTCTTATTATATTATTATAGTAAGGTAGTAAGAGGCCCCTTAACTTAGTAAAGCTAGGACGTACTATATATATATATAAAAGTAATCTAGTAGTATATACATCTTCTTATAGAATCTTAAGTAGTTCTACCTTAGGCCTTTAGTTACGTAAGTATACTTTAGTTTAATACTATAAACAAGATATATCTTAAGAGAGGTACCTTAAAGGTATTAGTATAAAGTAAGGTACCTAAAGAGTATCTTAATCTTGTCTACTACGTTCTAGTAACAGGTCTTAAGAAGGGCGTATCTTAGGAGGTAAAGGTAGTACTATTAATAGTACTAACAATAAACCCCTAACCCTAAACCCTTGTACAAGTCAGGACTCGTGGACGCTGGTTGGTGGCATGCCTAAATGGTCAGGGCTGAGGGCATATACATTGTATCTACTTATTTAAGGCCAAGTCCGGCCCTGCCTTAAGACGCCTCTTTATAATAGGGTACAACCTTATTATAATCCCCATCACACTTGGGATTTCTTCACCGATAATCATTTTAACGACACGAAGACCTAACCCAATTGCAACGATATGGCCGACAACCCGTCTAAGTCGAAGGAACAGCAGGATCGGAAGGCTAAGGGCGAAGTTACTAATAATATCATTGATAACCCCGAGATGGCCGCCCTTGTACAGGAGACGGGCAGGTCGTCCCAGCGAAAGAGAAAGGAGAATAAGGAGGCAAAGGAGAAAAGAGAGAAAGAGGTACGTGATTTCATAGTGCAACGATATATACGATTCACATACTGACTCCTTAATAGAGCGGAAGCTCGGTCCCTTAATCCATGGACATCTGCGATCTATTATCAGCCCACGACATCCTTGCCACAATGACATCTTGGCTATTGGCACTATCTAGATTGTTAAGGGTTTTGGATCGTTGCTACATGGGTTCTTTGACTTGCTCTTGAAACCGTTTCTAGGAGTGTAGGTGAATTATGTATCTGGATTACCTTTCTTTACCACTGCTCTTAGGAAATGGGGGATGGTTTTCTAGTGGGGACTTGATTGTTACATTCTAACCTATCATCTGTCGCACTTGATGGATGCATGCACTGTCTATTCTTTACCGATATGCAGAATACATAGGTTCTGAAATTTAACCAATCACTCCTTCACAAAACAAAACTTATGATTTTCCGGCCTCATGTCCTCTACTCAAGTCTCTAAAAGAGTCCTTTGAAGCCTAGCCTCCGGCTTTCAGCCCTTCGTACCACTTCTTCTTCTCGGCTACTAGCACCTTGTACTTGGCCAAGTGTTGCATCTTCATCTTGACGAAGGCATCAACCTCTTCCTTCGGGACCGCGGCAACAAGCTTGTCAAAGTCAGGTACAGCGGCTCGGAGCTGTTCGAAAGGGACATTTGTAGGACCGTTGAAGCCCTCCCAAATGATGTGGTGAAACCACATCCAGCCCTCTGTCTTGCAATGTCTCATCAGCGCCGAGGGCCTCTCTTCTGCAAGCATATTGTCCCCCAGCGTCTTTCCCTCCTCATCTTCTAATATTCGCATAAACATCTCTAAATACCTATCGTACCTAGTAAGCCTCTCGTCGGCGACGTCCCAGAGGTTGGGTGTTTCTATCAGAAGCCATCTTGGCGGGGACCAGAATAGCTGGTGAGGTCCAGTATACGACCACTCCCAGTCAATTACCGCGATGATCTTGAGGTCTTGCGCGTTATTGACAATCATGTTTGCTGGCCCGAAATCGTCGCAGATGAGTTTGAATGGCCCCTTGTCATACTTTAGAGAGATAAAACGAGAAATTAAGGTCCTGAAAACGTTCCAATAGATGTACTTCTCCCTTGCATCGTCCTCATTGTCGACTGAATTTAGCTGCTCGTGCAGATGTCGCCAGTCCTGGCCAGCTACATAAGTGAAATAGTCTGTAGTTGACGGGAATGTCGTAGTTAGGGGACCTAGAAGTGAATGAGGAAATCAGAATTGGGCTAGGCGAGGATAAAAATCAAAGTGTTTAACGTACAGAAAACGTCGACTCCTCCAACATTAAGGATTTCATGTGCCTTCCATGTCATGGGCCGCGAATGTATCGTCGCGGTGTAGCTGCCGTCGCCCTTCTGAGATGCTTGGGACAAGCTACCAATCTTGAGAAAGTTGAGCTTTGAGAGTTGCAACATAAAATCAGCAATCTGCCGGTAGATGGTCTCAATATCTTTTTCACTGATATCTCCTCGTATAAGTCTAGCATCAGGGCTCTCGGGATCTTGAAGAATGTCGCCCAAGCTCATGCCTTCAATAAAGGAGGTTATAATAAACGGGCCTAGCCCAAGCTCGTTATCAGCAGCTATTCCCCAGGCTTTAACCTCAGGGACGGGAATATCAGTCTGCCCACGGACGATATTCATTGTGGCCACTTCGATCTCGACTTTCTCATCGGCATTCTTGACCTTCCCACCTCTAGGGAACCGCACCATCCACTTCTCCCCGTTAGAAAAGACCACCCCACAAGTCCAGTTAAACGAGCCGCGAAGGTCGTCGGATACCTTATCATTAGCAAGCCTGCAAGGCAAGTGGTCCTTGTGGAAAGTCGACACCCAAGTTGTCAGCCGTTCCCCGCGACATTTTATGAATTGGTCGATCCATATGAAGGCCGCTGCTCTGTTCTCGATTTCGGCACGCTCGTCCCAATCCATCGTGTCACGTGTGCTTGCTTCGACGGGCTGGAAATTTGATTGTCGAAATTCAGAGCAGGAAGGTGTGTTTATTCTGCAGCCGACATAGGCTTATAATAGTCGAGAACCCGAGATGCAGGCTTTCTTCGCATTTAGAAGTTGTTGTCAATGACTGGGGACCAGCCACAGAATAACAGGGGAAAGACAAAGGGGAGGCGGCGAAGGGCAAAATGCGCCGGGGAGAGACGAGGCCATATTTTCCCGCCTAAGGCATTAACTGGATGACTATACCTAATCGGTAAGTCACATGCGGACCTCGACCAAATGGAATGAATGCCTTGAATGCCTCAGGTCGGGCAGATTATAAACACACAGATATATATACTCGGTGTCTATTAGGCTCGGCTCATCACCGACATCACCTCAATCCGGTTGACCTAGGTATCCCTCTTCCTAAGGATCTGGGCATCTATAACCCGCATACGCGCGACACAGACTGGCCTAGGGCGGCATCCGAGACGCACGAGGCAGGTGAGGACATGGCACGGTAGAGAAAATTATAGAGGGCCTCTACTAGAACCTTGTAGAGGGAGCGGCTGGCCCGGCTATCTCTTCTGTTGTCAAAGACATGATTTGTATATGTATAGGATATTTCTCCGAATACGGTACGGAACACTCAAGCATTGCTGATACTGCGCTCTAGAACTATGCACGGGTGGTACCTATTCCTCGCCAGCTTATCCCTATACGAAATGTGTGATAAGACTGCTTTCAAATATTATGGCTGAGATTCGGGAGATAGACAGTTTTATGTGAGCCATCAAACAACGACAGCGACAGCACCAGCAGTTTCCAATACAAACATGACAACGTTACTTCCCGCCATAACACTGGCGGGTATGACCCTCGTCTCGGGATCAGGATCAAAAATGGCCACACAATACGAAATCCTCCCCAGGTACTGCACCATACTCGACGTTTCTCCAATGATAGCCAGCGAGCGTTCCTTGCTAACAGGCTTCTGCGATAGTTCATAGAAATGGTAGCAAGTACAGATCAGGGCAGGAAATACCAAGGCTGTGTTGAATACGGCCCCGACCTTGCGATTGTCGTTTGCCTTCAGGAATGAGAGTCTGCCTGTCGCGAGGTATTTCTGACCTAGGCCAGAGAAGATCAATTTCGACATGATAGTAGCGACCGTGGTTATTTTACGGAGGACAGAAATGGCTGTGTTATCCAGAGGCATCTTGGCCACGAGAGCGTCTGCTCCACCGGCTGCAGCGGCCCCGATGACGCCCATGATAGCGGAAGGTATACCGAATACATTGGCGGGGCTCACATCCATGGCTTCAGCAAAGAACAGAAAGTTTCCTGTGAAGGCGATGAAACCAGTGATAGCATGGCCGGCAGAGTAGATGGTGTTGCCTACCGATTGAGAAAATTCCAAGCTGGACAAGGCCTTGTTATCAGCCGCACTAGATGACTCGTCCACGCTCATTGCGCTCATCCTGGTGATTGGCCTCTTGAAAACCGCGGAGAATGAATTCCAATCCTTTGCTTGGATCAATGCACGAGATGTGGCGTCGTCAGCAAATGGAGCTTTGCCACGGGCGATTTTGAAGACGATTGTGATTCCTGCAGCACCGATCCAAGTGAAGAGATCAAGGAACGAGATATCGGGAAAGCCAATGGCGTTGAGAATGTCCGAGATGATGGGGATGTGAATCTTGGTGTCCAGAACGGCAATCGCAGTGCTAGCGAGCTGGTGCAGGACGTTCAACATAGCATCGACGACGACTTGGGTTGTTACCAAGACGGATTCCACCAGGATACCAGCCAGACGCTTGAGAATGTCTGCCAGACTGAGCTTTAGAAAATCCGCGGCAAGAGCCTTGAGTTGATCGAAGGTCTGGGTAAAGACCAGTCCTTGCGAGGCCATGGCCTTCATCATGTCATCAACCAAACTCTGCACTAAGCTAATTTCAGGCATTCCTTGGGGCATAGTCATGTTGTCTGCCTGATTTCGGAAATGGCTTGCCATCATTTGAGAGCCGGAGGTTTGGTCCTTGGAAGGATCCGTTGCGATGCCTGAAGGCGGCTTAGAAGCCGAATCGCCCAGTGGTGTCCAATCTTTGATGCCGGACAATTCTGCCACGGCTTTCTGTGCATCAGCAATTGAGTTGTCAAACTGGCTTTGAGCCGTCTTAATACCAGATACCATGTCCATCATATAGAACCTGACCAGGTTGTACATGACCTGTTTGGTGCGGCGAATGTCGTCCCACTCAAACAAAAACTCGACATATCGGATGAGAGTCTCGACTCCTGTCTTGATCTTATTGAAGACCCACTCGACAGCCCCAACAATAGCCTCCACAGTATCTAGGATGGCGCGGTACACTTGATTGCCGATCTTGACGATGAATTCCCACAACCCCGTGGCAGCATTCTTGATGATATCGATGACATTTTTGACACCTGTCTTCAGCCAATTGAACAGATCACCAGCTGAAATGGCAAGGTAATCACCAAGGTCAAACTTTATGCTCTTTTGTGGCACCACCAGATCTGCAAGAACCGGAGCAGCCACGCAGAACGATGGCAAGGCAGAATTCTTCGATGTCTGCTTATTGTAGGCGTCCGTCAATAGCCGTATGCTCTGAGAAGTCGCCTGGAGGTCGTTGTCTGACACTGAAGATGATACCAACGGAGCGGTCTTGGGCGTTCCCATGACTCCGCCGGCTGTGGTGTCTGTTCGAATTTGGGCGTCCTTGAGAGCATTTTTGTCAGAAAGTTGAGCCAACTTGGCAAAAGATTTGGCCATGGGATCGATGGTCTGTGTAGTGTTGCCTATTTTTGCAAAGATAGTTGCTCCAACAATGCTGTCTGTTGCTTGGATGATGATCACTTGCCCAGATTGATTGACGGGCACGGTGATTGGAGTGGTCGAAAGGATGTAGTAAAGACCATCAATGTAGACCGGTGTGCGTGCCTCAGTTGTGAGAACGACTTCAGCTCCTGTTACGGGCAGACCATCCTCTCCTTTGACTTGAATTATACTGGTGTACGAATTGAATGACACTGCCTTGCTCTGGGGGCTTGCTGCTAGTGTTATGGGTTGTGCCTGCCATAGTTTGGATGTTGTACCGGTAGCTTGGGTGAGCTTCTGGATTTTGTTGCCCCCTGCCGCAAACACTGTGTTACCACCGTCTTTGACGTTGATGTATGAAGTGATGCGTTCGATGCCATGGAGTACAGGGACTGGAACACTCCAAGAGTTTGGATCTGCAAGTCGATCAATATAGCAAGATGTATAGTAGACGACATTACTGGCATTCTTGCCGAAGATAGTGGTGACCCGGTTGCGAGTAAGCGCAATGATAGTGCTAGTACCAGCAAAAACTGGGTTGGTCAGCAAAGCTGTTCCTACGGCACTGTCATTCAGCTGCTGATCAGGATCCCATCGGTAGAGGGTGGACTGGCCCACGGCGTAGAGATCTGTGGTGCCATACAAGGACGAGCCCCTATCGTTGTTGCGGGCTGAAGCAATTGCTGAGGCGACTGTCCTATTAGGGAGAACGAGGCGAGTTGGCATGGGCGCAGCATCGCCGCTCAGGTTGAATAGAGGAACATAGGCGAGCTGGGCAACGTCTTTCACGGTACCGGCTGTGTAAATCCCATCGACGTATGCATTGGAGACACGGCCCATGCAGCTCTGGTATGTCCCTTCCTCAACATCAAAGGGCAGTGTGTGCGGTGTCCAATACACGCCGGAAGTGGTAAATGGGTCTACAATGTAGCGAGCTGTATCCTTGAGTGGTGAGGTGGGATCGCGAAGAATATCGACCATGATGTATTGCTGTTGCTGTTCTGTCTCGGAGATATATATGTTGGTAATCTGAATAGAGCTTGGTGGATTCTCAGCGTCGAAAGGAATCAGCTGCCAGTTGGGGTTGGCAATCCACCAAGAAGTAGAAGACGGTGAATTAAAAAGAGACAGAAGTAGTGTATCGGAACCATTGGCACGGACTGACATGGCCAAGCTGATGGTGTTTTCGTTCATGACGTTCTGGCCTACATCAAATGCTGTGGCCTTTGCACCAGACGGGAATCTCTCCTTGATTATCTTGGACAGATCAGTGGCCCTCCAGCCAGTCTGCGTTTGTCCGGTGGCCTCTTCGATGACGTTGAAAGCGCCGAAGGAGTCAATAGCGAAGAGCAATGCGTTTCCATTCGTGGTCTGGAGGGCCTGGAATTTGCCTTGAGGCTTAACAAGCTCTCCCTGCACATAGTTGAGCATCATATCGGTACTCGTTGTGATGGTTACTCCTTCTTGGAGTCTGTCCGGAATGGAGTTGATGCGAAAGGACTGGGGAGTGTGGGAAGCGGACGTACCATCGATTTCCGGCTCCTTCTCGATCGCCCTGATTGTGAAGTGCTTCACTCCTTCGCCAATTGTACCTGTACCCTCTGAGGGTACAGCGGAGCGTGGTGAAGAATCTGCCGAGTGTTGCTGATCTCTCGGCGCATCCAAAATAGATGAAGGGTCTTCTGAACGTCGCAAATTCTTTGGTGCTGCTTTGCCTCCTTCTTCCTCGAGTTTGTTAAGCTCTTGAGATCGGAGTTGCAAAATAAAGGCGGCCAGAGGTGGTACCTCTGCAAGTTCGATCACGCGCGGTGCGCTTGGGACCGCCTCAGAGAGCATCATGGATCTGGCTGACTCTCGTGAAACGGTAGGATTTATGTAGGTGATTAGACTGACGAGATCGTGATGTTTGGAGAAAGCAGCTGTCTTGTAGGAGAACACCTTGGCCCCGGGAAACACAAAGTTCCTGATCTGATTAAAGGGAATGGTAGAAATTTGGGCATTCAAAAAAGAGCCACTCCGGTGCCTTATATCAGCAAGCATATCACCAACGTTGGTAAATGCGTTAACGAGCCAGCCGACGTCGCCGTCTGATGACTTATCGGTACTACTTGACTTAGATGCAGAAGAGATAAGTCCGCCGCTGTTGTCAACAGAGATCACATACTCGTCTGATAGAGTTTTGTCGAGCACGTTAGCACTCCTTCCTGTAGCTGACCACTGGAGATAGACGCTGATCTTGAGGCTCTGGACGATGGTAAAAATGTTGCCACCTAGGTCAACTGGAGGAGACACGGTAGTGTCATGTTTCCCAAAGAAAATACTGCAAGAGTAGGTCGAGGTCATATTCAGTTCGCCATATGTAGCAGCCATTTTATCCCATGCATTTGATGTATGAGAATAGTCTATTGTGGCAACGAGCGGACCAGAGTCCTTGATATTGACTGTTGGTTCTTGTCCAGAGGCAAAACTCCAAGAGTACCTGACTCCACCAACAATGTCTAACGCCTTCACGCCTGTCCAGGGCTTGATGCAAGACTCCCGGGCCTTGGGTAGTATTTCTTTGGCCAGAAATGCGCCTATCGTGCTTCGTTTGATAGCTATAACACCGCTTGATTGGGCGACGTCCTGTGGTTCAATCCAATTCCAGTTGAATGACGCCGCTCCTGGCAATGGATGACTATCCGTAGCACAGAGATAGTTGAGAGTCGTGGCAGATGACTGAAGTGGAGAGGGATCCGTGATCTGGAGGCCAGACAGAGGATCAACCACAGGGCTCACCCACCGCTCTAGTCCCGTCAAGCGCAGTGGTGAGCCATCTGGCTGTTGAGCCACAGCAGTAACTCCAATGAGTGGCAGACCTTTGGCTTTGGCAGTGCTTGACCAGATATTGATGAAGGATTGAGTCAAGAGAAATTCCGCAGTTCGATCAGTAACGCCGACAAACGATGGGGCTGTTTGTGCGACGGCACTGTCCAGGTTAACAACAAGCTGTTGTAAGCTGAAAGCTGATCCCGAAATGTTGTTCAATTTTTGCCTCAGTGCGTCACGCTCCTCTGGGTGGGATTGGAAGTATGGAGTATCGAGACTCTTGTCTAAAGCCGAAGATAAAAGATTCGTGCGTGTTTTGATATACCACGGCTTTCCCGACGGTTGACTGAACCACTGCCACGATCCTGCAGAGTTCCACCCACCCGGGGGATTGTTTTTGATGACAGTGATGCTGGAGCAGTACATGTTGAAGAGGACATTATCAGAAGTATTCCCCAGGGTCACGATCGGTTCAGGTAGCTGTACCTGGGGGCCCTTTTTAGGGACATTGACAACGCAGCCAGGAGGAATGCCACTTTGCATCTGAATTCCGCATACAAATCGAACCTCAGTCAGCTTGTTGATTCGTGGGTCGCGATAATCAGTGCCATCAGGGATGTCAAAGGGATTAAGCCCTCCACTCATTTGCAAAATCTCGTCGAGAGATTTCTGAATAGTAGGAGCTCCCGTGTTATCCGCTAAGAAGCAGAGGTACGTGAGCGGCTGTTTGCCTTTAGTGTTATGCAGATATTGCACAAGGCCAGCGTTGATGCTCTCTTGAGTCGTGGAAACCACAAAGTCGTAGAGATACTTTGGGTCGGAGAGGTTCGATTGACTGGGGGCCATGGTGACAAGGTGCAACTTCAAGACTCTTGAAAGAGGATAGTTTTTGAATGGAAAGAAGTAACGAAGATACAGATCAGATTTGATGACTCTGGAAATCGCAGAAGATTGCAATCTGACAATAAGGAATCAGGCTTTATATACTGTGCTGTGCGACTTGTGTTGACCTGTTCACTCGACGCTTATGCTACACTAAGGACAGTAGGCCTAGATCTCAGCCAGCCACGCAGTGCATCTATGTTCTTTGCTGCGCAGGTAAAGCATGGTTCTGCTTTAGTTTTACAAAGTAGCAAATCTTGAAGTTTGTACATTTGGTTTAACCACCTACAAGAGCTGAGATCTGTCAAACAAATGAGGTTATAACACAGCAAATAGTGGTAATAACAGGGCAAATCCAAGTGGATTAGAACATGATTGGATTGAATAGAAAAGAAGAGTAGCTAACTACTCTATGTACTCAAAAAACAGGAGTGTTGATTTACAGGTAAATGTACGATATCTACTACAAAAGAAGTATATTTGTCTGAAGCCTGACTATCTAACAGAGACTATTGAACAAGGATCAATCTCTGTTGTATTAGGCAAAGATCGGTTGGTAACTCGGGGAACAGGATCCGTTATCCCGGCGGGTGATCCCCCAGCTTCACAAGATCATCGTGGTTGTGAGACAAGGCTACAGGTCTGAGACCCAATTGGCAAATCTCTCACTTTAGGACTCTTTCTAGCTACATCCACAAATGTACGAGGTGAGAGCTGAGAGCTGAGAAAGAGAAGTGGGTACAGAGTACGACATCAAAAGTCATAAACCAGCAGAGTGGCTTGCAGTGACCACCTCGTCAAGACTATGCCGCGAGTCGCCCTTGTCTTGCGTTAGTGGCCACCACTTCAAGTCTGCCCCTCCTTAAAGCGTTGCCGCAATTGGCCTGTTTGAATTTATCCTTTTCTAGAACCTGTTTTCCGAGTTTTAGATTGGCTAGCGATACATCGGGCCCCCCGATCCTACACCGGCTCTCGCCTACCTTATCATTTCAGGGTTTCTGCGACCGACTAGGTTATATAAGCACCGGTTCGAGTTAGGACCCTTAACTATGTAGGTACCTACTACCTTTGTTGAGATACAATTTGTATGGTAAACTAGATGGAATAGGTGGTGCGCAGACATATCTACATTGTTGTCTAGGCGTGTTTAATTCTCCCGGGCCAAACACAGTGATTTTTTGGTCCGGTGGCGTAGTGTAGCCTGACACGCAGTTTATGCTAACGAGGGGTTCGGCCCGTACCGGTCTTAGACTTCCGGCAATTCTTTCCGCGCGCAGGGGCTGACGGTGAGACCCCTGGGAATCTGACGGAGAGAGGTAAGTACTACGTCGATTTAGATAGATCCCATATCTAGGTGATACGATATGATATTCCTATATCACATACTATTGGAGACCCTAAGGGCGGCCGCACCGGTGAAGGCGATTTTGCAGGTTTTGAGGCAGAAGGATCGGCCTCCCTAAGATCGCCCGCCTTTGAATCCACTACCTAGGTAAGGTAGAGAATAGATGATCTCCGATCCTCAGCCATACTTGCTCGCCAGCTATTTCCTGGCAACGCTCCTGTCCAGTTACTTCTGGAAGTTAGTGTGCTATAACGCTCTCAGATGATGGGAGGAGGCTTTATTTGTATTGTGTCATCTCTGTGATTACTATCCAATCAGAAATATCGAAGTTAAATCCGCTTGGAGAGCTTTCGTATTCATTCACGATCCGTCCTTGGATCGAGACCCGAGGATACTCGAGACGAAGATGCTACATTCTTCTCGCGCCGCAGGATTGTTAAACTTGTATAGCTTGACAAAGTACGTGGTACGGAGGTTACCTACATCAAAATAAATGGCGTACAATAGCTATCTATTTAATTCTAGTTCTTGACAAAGGTCTGATGTCATGTGTAACCTCTTGCTCGGTCTGTTCTTGACAGTGAGCATAGAAGCCCAGAAACTCCTCAACGCTATTGTAGACGCCACTCCGCCAGTCTTCGCTATGAACGCCATACCTTCCATTCAAATGGTTCATCCTTTGCCTTCTCACGCCGGCAATACAAGGCATAAGAGCCGCCCCGACGTGGACCGCCACCAATATCGAACGCAACCACAATCTCCCAGTCCTCCCCAATACCCGTCAACTGATTATACGTGACGCTGAAATCCGTCGGTTGACAAGGCCTGCCTGAGTCTTTGTTCCGGATGGGCATCACGACGCCTCTGAGCGTTTCTGCCAGCTGCTGTGCTGCTATGCATGCTCAGTAGGCGAAATAAACGCGAATTGCTGTGCGTCGTGGTGGTAGAGAATCCCGGGGCCCATGATGCCGCCTACCAGTGTACAGAGGTACGCCAAGTCGGCCAGGAGAAACTCAGCTAGGACGACGGTCTTGGGGATGGGTGTACGGATCTCCATAAAGTATTTCTCTCTAATCCAAATTGACGGGATCGGGGGCGACGCCGTCTAAGTGTTTGCGTTGGATGGACTTGGCGAGCACATCGTCGTCGTCAAAAAGCTGTCGCGAGTCGCGACGTAACGGACTCCGGAATGTTGACCCGGAGTACACGACAGCAGTCTTGCATGCGGATCTGTTGGGCTTGCCTTTCAGACTAACTAGGCAAAACAGGCTGGGCTTCTACGGCGTGGACCAAAGCGCAGATCAAGATGATGTTGTGCTGCGATAACGTTTTGCGATATTGCTGGAGTGCGGATGCAATCTTAGTGCGTCGCTCTTGATCCATATTATCCGGTAGAGAGAGAGATATACCACCGTCATTGTTTTTTATTGCAAAGTAGGTGGAAAGGTGTAGAAAGTAGTTGTTGGGAGTAAAGTCTTCTATCGATTTGGCCTATTGAGGTTCTTGTTTCTATTTTGATACATTAGTAAATGCCGGATTTATCAATGCGAAGAAGGAGGAATACAAGTGGCCCATTAATACTTGGGCTACTAAGAAGCACAGAAAGAAATTGGTCTTACGGTCTTAGGCTCATCGTATAGATGGAAGTGACTAGATGTCAGTGGGGCTATGATCAGACACTCGGGAAAGACAAAGGAAGAGGTGTGGGAGCTTCTTAAAAGGAGAGACAATGAGGCAAAGATCGAAGGATTCATGTGTACATTCCTATATCAGTGAATTTGGAATGAATAATGTAGCCAGATTTTTATTTCAAATATGTTGATAGATGGTCAGAAGCCAAGCATCTGGGGCGCTTCGTGTTTTGAGGTGAAAGTCGATTAATGTGATTCTTTTTGGCCGCTGGGGTGGGGGGGGGGGGGGAGCTTGGGGATAGGAGAAAATCAACTACGATTTGTAATCCTGCAATAGAAGGAGAGAATTAAAAAAAGAACTAGGGAGGGGGAGACAAAGAACACTCTTCTTCTAAACTAATTTGTATAAAGGACCATACGTTTACACTAGAAAACAGTTCTTCAGGAATTGGATCGGGCGTAATGTCTCGTGCACGAGACTGCGACAACGGTAGCGTGGTCTGTTTAGAAACCTTGATACCATGAACACGAGAGTAACCATAAAGATAAGAATATCCTTTGAGAAACTCGGATTCAATTACACAAGTACCACTGACATTCTCGTCCGATCGCATTACGGATTTTGTGTTGGAGCAGGGCAACCACACGTGATACCCCGCATACTTCGACTAGAGGAGTGCGGGGTAATTCCCGCATAAACGCTTAATTGAAAGCGAGGCGCCATCCCCGAAGAGGATAAGCTAAACTCAAAGAGGCAAGCCTGAATGTACCTTGGTTTACCGGAATAATGCGGGGGCGAGAGCTGCCTCAGCGGCGCGCGCGTATCAGCATTCTCGTTTTCACACTCTTTCTCGTCGCTGGCCTCTTTGTTAGAATATCCAAGTCATCTATCCCAGAGTTGATACAGACTGGATATGCAATCGCAAAAGCGTGCTTGTATTGATGATCAGACGGATGAGGCCTCCAGAGGATCGAAGAGCCGTGCCTGTGAGTTCTATGATAGCTTTGCACGGGCCACACCCTGACTGACAATAGGCAACGAATGCAAGAAACACAAAATCAAGTGCGAGCGGAGGCCGGGGGTGTCAAGCTGTGCCAGGTGCCATAAGCAGGGCCGCAGATGTATTAGCAGCGGTCACCTCCAAAGAATCGTCGAAGAGGACACCGCGTAAGCGGCCTGATCAGTCAAACATGCCAGGCTTACTGACGTGTAGGATAGGTGGAAGAAGGTGGCAAGTGCTCACACACTACAGCTCCAATCAGCAGTTTTAGACCTCCTTAGACATTGTCAATTGCCTGACCTGTCAACTTACAAAACAAATGCAACAACACCCCAATCATTGGATGCCGTGCTTCCTTGTCCGGAAACAGGTTCTACTATGGCAATGACAAGGGAGAATTCACAGGAACCAGGGACTGAGGCTGAACTGGTTCCAGCTCCGATGCGCAGCTTATACGAAGTGACGAAACTACGGAATCTTCGAAGTAATCTGTACAGTCAGCCACGAACCATAAACATGATAGACAACGACATGATATCAAGAGGAGTTTTATCCCTTGACCAGGCAGAAATGCTGTTTTCCCTCTTTAATCGTACTATGAACCATTGCTTGTGGGGCGGGATTGCACTCACCCATTCTGATTTGACATCTGTCAGGCAATCATCGTCTCTTCTTACCGTCGCGATATTAGCTGTTGCATCCTTACACGTTCCGGACCAGAATGAAACCTTTGAGGCGTGCTACCTAGAGTTTGTTACGTTGGTGTCAAAGTCAACGCTCAACCGTTACCACACCCTAGACGAGATACGAGCTCTCTGTATAGGTGCGTTTTGGCTCTCGGACCTTAGCTGGAAGCTGTCTGGCCATGCTATAAGAATAGCAACAGAGATGAACCTGCATCGAGGGGTCCAAAGACTACTAAGGGGAAAGCTTGAGAACTTTGAGCACGTTCAATTGTGGTACCTGTTATATGTATGCGATCATCATTTCAGCATAGCATATGGTCGGCCTCCGGTGATTCACGAAAGTCCAGCGATCAGGAACTACGAGGCGTTTCTGCAATCTCCACTAGCTGGGCCAGGCGATGTCCGGTTGGTAGCTCAGGTTGCACTTTTTATAATCCTGACCCAAGGATATGATGAATTTACCTCAGATGTTGAACAGCCCTTAGAGGAGGACGACTTTGATCGCCTGAGGGCGCTTACCCTGGACGTTGAGATGTGGCGGATGAAGTGGCAGCCTAGATCAGGTACCATTAAATAACAGATTTATGACGGCTTCGCTGACGCGCTTTGTAGCAGACAGTCCATATGTTGGTTGTTATCCTTCTAAAGGCGTTGTGTTACACTATCACTTCGCAAAATTCCAGCTAAATTCTCTTGCCCTCCGCGCCATCGCATCCGATGCCCTTCTTTCCATGGATCGAAGAGATGCTATCAACATCGCCATCTCCTCTGCTATATCAACTTTGAGCATGATTCTTCACGAACCAGACATCCGCAGCGCCATAGTCGGCGTTCCTCTCTTCACGCATACAATGGTTGCCTTCTGCGCCGTCTTTCTCCTCAAAGTAGCGTGGACACGGAACTCGCAATTCCTGAACATTGACAAGCGCCAGGTACAGTATCTTGTACAGAATGTTATTGAGATGATGTCTAGTGTCGCCGCCAGCGACAGGCATCTCACGTACCACATCGCTCGTGGCTTGAGTAAGATGCTGAATAGGCTCAAGAATAGGGGTATAAGTCCGGATGCGCAAGCGTATAGGACTGCAAGTACCGTTGCAGCTGCAGGCTTGGGCGGGCCGACACAGGTCTCTATATTCGATACTTTGGGTACGTATGGATTCGAGTTTGATGATACTTGGAGCGAGTTCCCGACGTTTCCTGATCCGTTCGCTATTATGTTACCCAGTGATGGATAGTATGATTAACTACACGTAATACCCGCTCTTGTTATGGCAGCTTTGCGTTACATATCATGCGCCAACTCTATATGCACTGTTGATTCCTTCGCGCTGTCGACAAGTCCCTCGCTCTTGTTCCTTAGCTTTGCCTGACTCTGTAGCTGGATATCTATCTTGGCAACAAAGTCCTTGTCGACAGAATTCCTGACCACTTTGAAAATAGACGGTCGCTTCCCGTCCTGGTCAGCAAATAGCAAGTCCACCGCTTCGAGGGGCCGCTGAGAAGTCTCTGGGAAAAAGAGATAGACGATCGGAACGGTAACAAAGTTGATGACTGCAAAAACAACGTAGGTTTTATACCCAATGTTTGTGATCATTGGCGGAGTCATTTCGACCACGACAAATGTAAAGAGCCACTGGGACACGACAGCGAGTGCGCCGCCACGAAGTCTGAGCTTTAGTGGGAGGAGCTCGCTCGGGTACACCCACATGTTCGACTGCCATCCTACTGTAAAGAAAGTTTGGAAGAGGTAGAGAACAACCACGGCACCGTAGCCTGGCCCCTTTCCACCCACACCAACCAAAATGGCTGACAGGGCCATGCAGAGACACATGCCGGTCGAGCCAAGCATAAAGAGTCGTCGACGCCCGATGCGGTCGACCACCAACCATGGAATCAAGCTGCTGAGAAAGTAGAAGGCCTGTAAGCCGCCGGACACAAGGAGGGAGACATGTCTCGACAAACCGACAGAATTCTGGAAGATGTACGGGCCGAGTGAAGACATGACATTTACCCCAGATAGTTGCTGGAAAAAGTTTGCCGCAAAGGCGATCAAAACACGAGTCCAGCCACTGATGCCGTTATCTTTGAACACATCGCTCCAAGATCCGGTTTCCTGGGCCTCAGTTGCAATTGCATACCGAATCTCATTCATTTCCTCCACTACTTCGGGTGTATCAATGTGTCCTCCCCGCAAAGCTGCTAGGGCCACCGTGGCGCGGTCAACCTGGTCAGTCGCGCAGAGGTAGCGTGGGGATTCAGGGAGGAAAGGCGTGAGAATGACGATGATGATACAAAACACAATCTGAAATGCGCATGGCAGACGCCATTGAATTGAGCCAGCGTAGGAGACCATAGCATAGTCGAGCCAATTTGAGATGATGAGGCCGACGATAAGGTTTGAGAGCTGCATAGCCATCATGCGGCCTCGGGACTTGGGCATGGCGCACTCTGTGAGCCAGATAGGAATCACAGTGGTCATAATTCCGAGCCCAAAGCCAGCAAGGATTCGGCCCACAAGAAACTGGGCTAGTCCAAACGTTGTGGTTTGCAGGATTGCACCTACTGACACGATTATGGCGCCAGCGATATTATTCGCCTTGCGTCCGCTCTTGTCACCGACGACGAATGTAAATAAAGCACCAAATAATGCACCTAAATCATAGGCAGATACTAGGAAAGCGAGAAGGGAGGCATTTGGATTATCGAAGACTTCAAGGAAGACGGTGGATGTTGTAAGGCCGCCCATGTAACCAATGTCGTAGCCAAAGAGGAGGAAGCCCATGGAGCAACAGAAAGTGACGGCATAAAGAAGGCTCTGACCTTTGAGGCCGATGAAAGTTGGAGATTCGTTCATTGCAAGCATCGATTGTGAATTTGTGGATGTGAAGGTCCAGGCCTTGCTTAAGCTATATCAGAGCCGTCAGGCCAATTGAACTTGTTGGCAAGAGATGATGAATAACGATATCACATAAAGTATCTAGATTCTGATCTGTCAAAAGTAGAGCTCGAGTCTGAATGATTGAGTCCAAGGGCCATTGTGAGGACTGAGGACTATTATATAACTGCGGAGTACCCCAGATAGGGGTGGGTCTTGCGATTCACACTTCCCCGCACTAAACCCCAGATTATGATAACAGCTCCACCTCGGGGCTTCACCGAGATATCAGCGCTACATCACCGAGTCTGCTACTGCTTATCAATCCTTCGACTGTGCTCTTCTTAGGCTCTTTTTCTTGCTCTCTAACAATATAGAGTGATTTGATAGAATTCAACACCCCGGTACGATCGGCACCTGGACATCGGGCTGCTCTCCGAATTATTTCATACGCATCGGACTTTTGCCGAACCCCTCGTGCAGATCTTTTGAACAGGCTATATTCCCCCTGTAGGCTCAATTCGGGAAATCGGCTTGATTACAAAGTTGCTAGACCTTAAACCTCCTGGCAGAAGATTTCCACAGAGTGCCTAAGGACAGGCAGGTCTCGTGTTACTAAATTTACTATTTTATATGTTTTGTAAGTTCACTTTAAACAGACTTGTCTAACATCATTACAGAAACCGATCTACTCTATCACTCTAAGAATGATTATCTTACTTCCCTAAACTGGTTTCTGTGGCCTCAGTGTTATGGGCGGCGGCATGGCACATAATTTTGTCAAATCAGGATTTCCAGTTGAGGGGTATGGCCTCTATAAGCCTATGATTGCAAAGTTCGTTGAAGCTGGCAGCAAGGGGGCTAGCTCCCCTGCGACCGCCGCTCAGGGTGTTGAAATTAGTTAAACTAGAGTTATGGTTCCTCCCGTCTTCTCCTTGATGTCATTGGCAATATCTTCAGCAGGTGTTACATACCCCATGTCAGCATATACGTCCGCGCCAAATAATAACCCGACCCATTGGAACTTCAGGTTGTAGACCATAGACCCCGAGTCCCCACCGCTCGCAAATGGCTGGCCCGAAGCCAAAGATTTGACCTCAATCTCGTGAGATGTTACTCCTTTACCCCAATCGATCTTCCGCCGCATCTGATTAACCTGTCCAACGGTGGCCCTTGTACTTCTGCCAGTTTTGACGACTACATCATCCTTAAAAATTGACCCAAGGGTCTTGATAGTATCCTTTGGTTCTGGATTGTATAGGAACTGCAACCCTTCAAGAAAGGGGAGCGGAATATCCTTCGCTAGTGCTGGCTTATTTTGCATGTCATCACCGGGACCAGGGGACTTAAGGGCAACCAGGGCCCAATCCATGCGTCTGTTAGCCTCGTTGACCCAATGTCCCGACGCATGCTTAACGTTACCCAAGCCTTTAGCTGCAGCAAATCTGTCGAGAATTTGGAGGGTCCTGGTATTGCGTGAATTGGGGTCTTGGCCTGCTGCTAGCTGAGCAGAAACTATTGCCCTTGTATGTTCGGCGTCATATTTCGCTGGATGCTCGACAGTAATCTGCCGGAAGACTTTTCTACCCTCGAGGCCAATGCCTTTATCCTTGTTGGTCCGTCGACCCTGTGGGTCACCGGACTCAATGACATGATAACACGTGAGGAAGCATTTTGTTCTTTCAACCTCACCATCGGCCTGGTAAAATACCACCGGCCCAAGACTTTCAGCTGCCTTGCTGTCGAGTTCTGTTGAGATCGATGCGCCGTTTGTTGGAATTGCAGATAGATAGTCTATGTCGAGAAGTTTTGCCTTGGTCGGCTCCTGGTTCATGGATGCACAGAGTGTAATGAAACCTGGGAGTATCTCAACATTGACTTCAACGTCATCTGGGACGCTGACAGATACAATTTCTTTCCTTATCTGCTCCTCAACCAGTGACCAAATATGCCTTGAGCCTGGCCTAACGAAGATTATCACTGTTGGCGTGAGAGGGGTGGATTGGAATCTTCGATGGCGGTTGTGGTATGCTATCGAGGTCCATTGGACGCTGTGCTTCTCAACTTGAGCCTCAACATATGGCTCGATCAGCTGAAAGGTTCTGAGAGCTGGGGTATCTCGGCGGACTATCTCGGATTCATCGTTATACATGAGCTCCGGGTTACGTATTTCCACTCTCATTTGAAGGCCCGCTGGACTTGCCCTCTCCTGCACTATTTCAAAGACGCATTGTGCCGCTGCCTTCCATCTCACGGCATCTGTATCGTGGGTCGTAATGATAACAGTGTCTTTGGCTCTCTCAGGGAACCCTCGCTGCCACAAACGTTCGGCTCTCATGTGGAAGACCACCTTTACCCCGCACTCCTTGAGTACCTCTCTGATAGGGTCGTCGAGTTCATCGAGAATTTTCTCAGCCATCGGTGAAGCCCGTGTCGTCTCGTGCGGCAGGGGAACCGGGATCTTGTTTTCTGGGGCAGCGCGGTATGGGTCCTTGAGCGCATTGTACATTTCGATACTGCAAGCATTGGCTGTAGATATATTAGCATAGCAAGATATTAGGTAGGCTCAACGCACCCTCAGGGCCGAAGTACTCCGAGGAGGTGTCCTCGGACAGGTATTTCCTCTTCACAGATCGGACAACCATTATTGTTGGATAAGCGTGGCCTTTACTTGAATATTGTTGTGAATCAGAGCGGTGGGAGGTGATGGGGGATATCGAACAGAGATGGAAGAAACTGTCCTCATTGTGAATTAAGCTATCTCGCTTCTCTGTCTAATTACCTTGATGGGTACCTACCTACGTACCTAGGTAGGTAAGGTACCTAGGTACCTAAATCGTATAATACCAGCTCGTGATGCACGCGCCTCCCCTCATTGGGATAGACGCGCTTACCGCCCTCCCCGCATTGCTATGCGCGCTTACCGCGTCGGCGAGAACGATCGTGCAATGAAAGTGATTTGCATCGTGGTAGCGTTTTCACGCGTTTTGTTAGCAAGGTTGATCACTAACATAACCCTTTTGACATCAAATGACACTGTTTTGTTATGTCTACCTACCTCTTAAAGCATCAAGGGCCTTAAGATCCCAAAATCCCCGTTCTAACTCGTAAAACTGCTTGCCTTTTGGTTGTTTTGCTTACGGCTGCCATTTCTTTATTGCTCACTGAGCTGTACTACTAAGATCTGCCGCCACTTCGGTTTGTCACCGCTGTACCGTTTCCATATTGTTATTTGTGTAAATCTCGTTGTTTTGCATATTGTTGTTTAGGTTGTCTATTGAAGTCAATTATTTCTGTTCAATATAGTTGAAAAGGAGTTTTGAAGTCTTATATTCGTCATGTGAGTAAATCTGTAAAGCATTCTCAGCAAATCTAACCTCGATAAGCCTGCAAAATCTCGAGGACGAGCCTGGAGGATAGAACATTTTTTGAAGCACTATGTATTTTCAGTGTCATTATATTTCAATATCCAAATAGCTGCCAAGAAATTGACATTTGTTTCTCTGCATCTTCTCCTCAACACCCTTAGTTCCTCATTATCCCAATGCTTACATACACTCTTATTAATTTCTCTAACTCCACAATCCTCTCACCTATGAAGCTCGTTTGCCGTAAGGTTCAAATGGGGACAGGAACGCACATAGAGCCATACCACCATACAGTGCACCACAAATAAAAATGGGTCCCGCGGTTTCCGTATTAGCAACTGTAGCAATAACAGCAGACATCGCTCCCATGAACCTGCAAAAGGCCACTGCAATTCCATTTCCGGTGCCTCTGTGAGCAGATGGAAGCACTTCCACCGTGTATCCATAGAGCGTCCCGTAATATATCTCAAGTGTGAAGGAGATCACATAACTATAGGCGATATTCTGAGCCTGTGAAGTGACTTGGGAATAGGCGAAAAAGAAAGCCACTGCGATTCTTAGTCGGCAAGGCCCGATGAATATTCTGATAAGAGACTACTTACTGGTAAGAACAGCCCCAATGATCATAGTGTATCTTCGTCCTAGTGGTGCCCAGTTTGCCATATGGCCGGCTAACATGGGCCCGAAAATACCGCAAACTTGGACCAGCGCATAATTCCTCCAAGTTTCGTACGTACTTGTAACCCCGAATTCCACGCCCCGACTGGCGAGATACGAAGGCAGAAAGACATTGAATAAAGGATATGCGAGGCCAATCATGGCCCAGGAGAGCCAAATAAGTAGCGTAGAGAACGCAATCTTCTTTGTTATAAACAAATTTCGGATGTGAATCCAGAATTCCCCAACTGAGAACTTCGATCGCGAGTGTGCTGAACTTATGGTTCCGCATGCCTCAAGCTGTTCTAGCGTAATCGAGCATGGCCGGTTGTATTTTTCAGCTATTTCTTGGAAGTTGTGAACTAGTTCCGCATCCTTACCTTGCCCGAGAAGGAACTTAGGAGTTTCCCTTAGACGAATAACTGTTATTCGGGCCATACTCATGAGAAAGATCATGGTCCCCATGGTGTACATTAGATATCTCCAGCCGCTGTTATTAGCCTTCGTGCAAGGAGTAAAGGGCGCCACATTTGGGTCAGAGCAGCTGTAATTTGCTGTGTGCTGCATCAGAAGGCCATAATGAAAAAAGGATGGAAGATAGGCTGAATGACATACGCATGAAGCCCCAAGCGACCAAACCTGCAACAGTACAACCGACCCCAAACCATGAAGCAAGCCAGGTTACTAGCCATTGCTTGTTGGAAGGCAAGTACTCCAAGAAGACCGTGGTGTCCAAAACCAAATTGCCACCAGCACCAAATGCTGAGGTAGCAATGAAAAACCCAAGTGATTCCCAATTCGGTGATGCGCCAGCAACGATTGTGAAGATTGCGCATATAAAGAGCGACACGTTAAAAGAGGTTTTACGACCAATGATATCAGCGCTGAAACCCCAGAACAGTGCTCCAACAAACATCCCAACATACACCGCGATAGTTAAGCCTCTAACGTAAGAAGGACTGAACTCAAAAACTGCCTGTCCAGCAATGATTCCTTGTAATGAAAGTTGCAAGGCATCCACAGAATATCTTGTACAGGTTCAGTATTGGGGTAGTGTACACGTAAGGATGGTGTCCTACCCAAAGCCGTTAAGAAAAAACAATTTCCAGTGATATGGTGTCCATCCAATTTCGTCAAGTGTCTGTCTCACGCAAATTAGCATGAACTATTGGATACCCGTTCATAGAATAAGACATGGGCTCACGTTGTTTACAATGTGCATCTTTTTGTTTAACGCAGGATCAAGGTCGAGAACACCTAGAACCTCCTGCTCCTGGCCAATTTTTTCGGGACCGGCCTCCCCTGAGTCTGATCCCATCTTCTTCTCAATCTCATCGTCATTGGCGTAGCCCTTCTCCGGGCTAACCAATGTGACGGGTGCTTCTACTGACATGGTGTGCTCTAGGAACGTGAATATATGGCGAGGTTGAATTGTCTTGGGTTGGAAGGCTGCGGGCCAACGATGGCTACTGAGACGGAGATTTCAGAGATTGATTCTGTTGGCAATGGCTGAAGAAAAACCCGTGAGCAATAGCATGTTAATGAAACGATAGGAGTCCTATTGGAAAGTATCTATCATCCCCAGCCAGATTTATCGGAAGGATATGCTATCAGACAATATTTGAGCCAAGAGCTCGGCCCCCGAGTTCTGAAATTGCAAGTTAATCTCTGTCTCTCCAGAGGGGGAAGTCAATTCCAGGGCTTATTGGATAGTTCCAGCTGTTGAAGCGCTGAATCAAGATCCCACCTTTGTATGGCTAAACGGATAATTTACTGCCAGGAGATCTTGCTACGTTACAAGCGCACGAAAGCGCTTTATCGTTGCAATCGCAATCTTACCACCCCATTCTTGCTGTTCGCTCTTAGTGTGAATAATCCCCGAGAACTTGTTGCACATCAGTTACCATAACGGAATCCCCCCGCACGGCTCAAAGATTTCAAGCAGTTTCAGAAACGCTCGAAATTCCATCACAATTGGTGCTCTCCTCCAAGTATTCAAGCGTGCTTCCATTACAGTGCGCAGAGACCATCGTAGTCCAAGCCCGCTACCAGCCGACCAATACATACACAACCCTTACTTCATTACGCTTATGCTTGAAGCTAGAAGTTGGCATTATTTAAGAGCTATCTCAGACAGGTCCCACGACGAATACTACGTCAAATAGGGTGATGAACGGAACCAGCGCCAGCAGCAGTGTTCCATCCAACCATGGAGGGCCGGCATTGGATTTGACAGTCCTGGGTTTGAACAGTGGCACATCAATGGCAAGAAAGCCTCCTAGCCACATGTTGTCAAAACAAATGACTGATGTCGCAAAATAGGATGGTATTGACTGCGCACTTTGTCGATTCAGGCAGCAAGACCCTTCTAGTCCAATGGAATTTGAGCTTTTGAAGTATGGAGAGACTCCCTTGGATCAAACGATCAAGAAGCGAGTCATGAACATGATTTTGCACAATTCCACATCACCAGAAGAAATCGCAGAAGTCAATGTCATCCTGGGCGAGGCATTTGCAAAGGCGGTAGAGGGGTTCACTTTAGAGCATGGGATTGATAAGTCTAGCATCGACGTGCTTGGATCTCATGGCCAGACAATATGGCATCTTTCCATGCCCAACCAGAACCAAGTTAAGACGACTCTCAGCATGGCCGAGGGTGCCATTCTAGCAGCCCGGACAGGAATCACCACAGTATCAGATTTTCGGATTAGCGATGTAGCAGCTGGACGTCAAGGAGCTCCTCTCATTGCATTCTTTGATGCACTGCTTCTACACCATCCTACCAAGCTTCGTGCATGCCAGAATATTGGCGGGATTGCGAATGTCTGTTTTATACCCCCTGACAGCCAGGGAGGCGTAGACGAGTGCTTCGACTTTGATACAGGACCCGGGAACGTTTATATTGATGCGGCGGTACGGCACTACACGAATGGCAAGCAAGAATATGATAAAGACGGCGAGATGGGAAAGCGCGGTGTTGTGGATCAGGAGATGGTAGATGGATTTTTGAAGCATAAGTATCTGCCCCAGATCCAGAAAATGATAGATGGAGAAGACTGACGCCAGGACTGAAAGGTATTTTGGCCTGGAGCCTCCCAAAACGACAGGCCGGGAAGACTTCCGTGACACCCTCGCTTTCGACCTTATTGCTAAAGGAGAGAAGAAGGGCTTGTCCCGAGATGATGTAGTGGCAACGATTACTCGAATCACAGCACAATCCATTGTGGACCATTACCGACGATTTGCACCATCTCAAGATATTGATGAAATTTTCTTGTGTGGGGGAGGCGCCTTTAATCCGAATATCACGGATTTCATTCAAAAGAGCTACCCGAGGACCAAAATCCTTATGCTAGACGAGGCTGGAATTCCAGGAGGTGCGAAAGAGGCCATCACGTTTGCTTGGCAGGGAATGGAGGCAATTGTAGGGAGATCAATACTTGTGCCGACACGGGTCGAGACTCGAAAAGAATGTGTGCTTGGGAAGGTGTCCCCAGGGGAGAATTATAGAGATGTAATGCTAAAGGGCATGCTTTTTGGCGGCAAAGAGAGAAAGCTGAGTCCGGTGAAAGACATGATTAACATTGTAGATGGGAAAGCATTTAGTAATAAATGGTAATAGAGTCGAGGAACTGATAAATGAACCGATAATTGAACCGATAATTGAACTGATAATTGAACTGATAATTGAACTGATAATTGAACTGATAATTGAACTGATAATTGAACTGATAATTGAACTGATAATTGAACTGATAATTGAACTGATAATTGAACTAGTACTTATCGAGTACCTACCAGAAACGCCCCCCCTTTTTTGTTACGAACCTTTCGACCTACAGGAGAGGCTGAAGTAGAGGAGTCACGAGGGCAATCAAACTTAGATTCCTCGGCGGTGAGACTGAAGGATTTGCGCCTTGCGCCTTGTACATTACAACCCAAGTTGGCCTTGTCTGCAAATAATGTCCAACTGCTCAACCCTCCAGCAACGGTGCCTCGATATGGGTATACATTTGGGAAGGGATGAAAAGTCCTGGACGTGTCTCGGCGCGCTGATTCTGATTCTTGAGCACGAAGCGTCATGAATAGATTTTCCCGGAGCATATGATCTCGGCCCAGACCTGTCAACAACGACGTGACATAGAGCTGAGGACGGCGAGACGGAATAAACTCACGACACTCCTCTTTCAACCTTCAAATCAACTCGATCTTCTTGGTCGAAGACTCCCATTCAAGCCGAGACACATTCGCCTCGCCCAGCGTCCGCTACTACTCCCTTCCACATGGGCAAAGCAACCTTCCGGCCCCCACCAGCTGGAGCCTACAGAGATGACCCCAATCATGCCGAAACAGCGTCAATGGAATCCGCTGTTCTTCTCGACACCATTGACTACCCCGACGAAGAACTGTCCTCGCACCAGGACACACCCTCCCAGTCCCGGGCATCACTCATCCCTGGCCTCACCCGAGGGAGCATCACACTTCAAATGAGCTGGGCCCGGCATAATCCTCTTCTCATCTTCTTCTCCAGTAATTGGTCCTTGTACAAACAGAGCGCCGCCCGACCTCCCCTTCTCAAGCTACGACATCGACCGCACCGAAATCCGCTCGCTCTTCACACCGCATAGTTCTGAACTGAAGTCCTAATTGACGAGGCGGATCTGAGGTCGTATTATGCTTGCTGTATAACGGCTTCTGGAAATTTCAACATTCTTCCTGCTCGTTGTTTTGGTCCAGTCTAAATCCGGAGTCAGATGCTGCTGAAGGATTGCAGAACCAGCGACTTACCTGCATTCTCCTGATGGCATTTGCATAGGCTTTCAACTATCGCATTGCACATCATTGGAGCTGTTGATAAACCATGACTTCAGTATGCTTGAAGAACTTTATTGACGGAGAGAGAGTGACGAGAAACCCCCTTGTTCGCGAAACAGAAGGTTAGCGACGCTTTAGTTAAATACTAGTGGGGACCTAGTAGAAGCCGTAATAGGCTTAGCATAGGGCGACGGACACTTTAGCAGCTTCTCAGCCCAGGAAATCCCCGCTGCATCCTCCGCAAATCCAACCGGTGGCGGCGCCGTACACGGCAGTTGAACTTGTCAGCACGCAGCGGCTGCCGACCAATCATGCCTCGCGGTCCCAACTCCGGAGCAAAAGAAATACGAGACGGGCCTCCCGCGAAGGATTTGGTATTGGCCCGAACGGGAAGCTGCATCCTCGAGACGCCCAATACGGCAAGACCCAAGGAGCTCCCCGCTCCTCAAAGCGCGCGACTCGTGTTGCTCGCGCGTAGAAGCGGAGTAGCGCTTGTTGCTAGGCCTGATAGGGAAGGTTCCCAAGATGGAAGGCCGGTAGAAGGACACTAGAGCGTTCTAGTGTCCAGCCATTAAGCCATACCGAGGCCAAGCTTCGTGTGGCTGAAGCTTGGCGCAAACCTCTCACGGAGCACACCACCAGCATCGCGAACTCCAGACTCCAGAGTCTCAGACCGCCGATAGCTGTCTTCACCTTCACCTTCACCTTCAAATTGACGAGGATAGATGCTTCAGCTAGACATGATGTCTTCTTTGGGGATCTTTGATTTCGAGCTTCTCTTAAACCTATTCTGATTTGGTCGGTCGCGCGATGGTAGTCAAAGCGGGCTCAAAGCGTGGAGTCGCGCTCTTCACAACCTAGCCCAGGATCTGCTCTTCCGTCCCCCAGGTCCTACCTAATTGCCAAGTAGTGGGCTGACAAGCGTCAGAAGATTTACCACCGACAAGCTTTACCCAAGCCTTCATCTTTGTCGTTCTCTCTTTTCTCGCAAGCCATCGCATACAGGACATGTAGGATAGTCTACTAGATATGTACCTGCAGTGGCTACAGACAGAACACATATGCGGGCATCTATTTCAAGGTTCTGGATTTGAATCGTTGAGCATCATGCTCGAAACCTCCTTTTCAGTCAGTCACTTTGCCCGCCTCTTCTTATCTTGGCCCACATAACCCCCGGCCTTCGTGATCGACACTCGCCAGATCCACTCTGCGTTTACAGTCCAGTAACTCGTCGAAATCTACGTGATGACCTTCCACTATTGCTGGGATACCCTGCACGTCGGAATCTCTTCCCCATGCAAGTGCGATCAATCAGTAGAATGCCGACGGCAGCTCCTCACTCCAGGATGGGAAACTGGCTGAAAACTCGAGGTATATAACCCCTCATCCCCCTCTCCCCCCTTTCTCCCCTCCTATCCGCATTGTGTCGCCCTCTGCGCTGATCCCCTCCTCCGTCCAGCACCATGGAGAGGCCCAGCTATTCCAGACAGGACACCGACGCCGTCATTGTCGACGAGAAGCAGCCCTATGGGATGACCACCGCTACCGACAACTCCAGTGGTGAGCTGTCCAAGTCCAAGGACAGCATCGCCAAGGGCCAGGAAGCGGGTAGTATCCTCGAGGCCCCCGCTTACGACCGAGATGCGGAGGCAGCATTTGGCCAGGGCGATGTCAAAAACCTCGAAACGACCGAGGACATCGTCACCACGGTCATACACGTCGACGATGACCCAACCCTCAATCCCTGGACGTTCCGAATGTTCTTTATCGGTATTGCTCCTTGCATCTTGTGGAAATGTCACTCAAGCACTTGCTGACTCGTTTCAGGACTCGGCCTCTCTGCCTTTGGAGCTGTACTGCAGGAGATCTTCTACTTCAAACCCCAGGTCATCTACGTCTCTGTCATGTTCTTAACCGTCCTTGCATTTGCTCTCGGCGAGGGTATGGCATTTTTCATCCCCAGATGGGGCCCCATCGGCCGATTCCTCAACCCGGGCCCTTTCAACAAGAAGGAGCATGCCGCTGCCGTCCTCATGGCCTCCGCCGCATCGGTATCTGCCCTGTCGACCGAGGCCCTGGCCGTGCAGAAACTATTCTACGGTGGGTATCCCAGCGCTGCAGCCGGTGTTTTCATCACCATGTCCTCTCAGTTGATCGGCTACGGACTTGCTGGTATGATGCGAAGCGCCTTGCTGTACCCAACCAAGATGTTCTACCCTTCAAACCTGCCCATCACAACCGTCTTGGAAACCCTTCACCACGATAAGGTGACTGGAAACTCCAAGAGATTGAGGATCTTCTGGATTCTCTTTGGTGCTCTGTTCGTCTGGGAATGGTTCCCTGAGGTATGCTTCTTCGCCTTCCGAGTGATAGCACGACTGACGGGACGATATTAGTACATCTTCCCCCTCCTCATTGGTGTCTCAATCTTTTGCCTCGCCGATCAGCACAGTTTGGTCTTCACCAATCTTTTTGGTGGTGCCCAAGGTAATGAGGGTCTTGGCTTCTTGTCCTTGTCCTTTGATTGGAACTACATCGCTGGTTTTGGATCGCCTCTCGCGTTGCCTCTGCAGACCCTGGTCAACAGTGGCATCGGCTACCTTGGCTGTATCGTTCTGTACATGGGGCTGTACTATGGCAATATCTGGAGATCGCTCGATTTTCCCTTCCTCTCCCAACAGCTCTTTGACGGCTCTTCCAACGCTACCAACTTCGTTCCATACAACGTCACAACCATCCTCAACTCTGACTTCATCATCGATAACGCAGCTGTCGACACTCAGGGCATCCCCTGGCTCACAGGCTCGTACGTTTCCTATCTCATCACGTCCAATGCCGGTCTCACCGCAACGTTCGTTCACATGCTCCTCTGGAACTATAATGAGATCAAGGTCGGATGGGAATTCGTCACGGTTGAGAACATTAAAAAGCTGTTCAATCCAAGAACTTACATGTTCTGGAAGAACGGTGGCCAGCGAACCGAGGAGGAGAAGGAGAGGATCCGCAATGATCCCACAGTCGACCCTCACTACAAGGTCATGCTGCAATACGATGAGTGTCCCACCTCATGGTACGTAGCTGCTTTCCTCGCCAGCTTCATTGTGGCTATGACCTGCTTGTACGTCATGAAATCGACCCTCCCATGGTGGGGTTTAATCGTCGGCCTGCTGCTCACGACCCTCTTCATGTTGTTCTTCGGTGCACAGTATGCCATTACCGGATTCGGCTTCAACACTCAACCCATCTTCCAAATGCTTGCTGGTTATATGTTCCCCGGCCGCCCACTGGCCAACATGTACTTCACGACCTACACATACAACGGCCTGCAACAGGGCTGGTACCTCCTCCGCGATCTCAAGCTTGGCCAACAGAACAAGCTGTCTCCTAAGGCGGCTTTCACGACGCAGATGATCGGCTGCATCTTTGGTGCTCTTCTGAACTTCGTTATGATGTTGACGTAAGCCCTCTCAACCCGTAGACAAGATGATAGCTAATTAACCCCTCAAACAGCATCGTCGACAACCAAGCCGCCAACCTCATCTCCATCGAAGGTACCCCCATCTGGTCCGGCATTAATCTCCAGCAGTTCAACACCCTCGCGGTCGCCTGGTCCATCGCCCCCAAAATCTTCTCCATCGGCGCGCGCTACGAATGGGTCACCATCGCCTACCTCATCGGCTTCGCGGCCCCGCTCCCCTTCTACATCATGCACCGCCTCTTCCCGCAGCAGCGCATCTGGAGCTACCTCAACTCCAGCATCATCTTGTGGTACCTGGGCTACCTGGTCACCGGCATCAACTCCTCCATCCTCTGCTACTACGCCATCGGCATCTTCGGCCAGTTCTACCTGCGCAAGTACCGCCCCAAGTACTTCGTCAAGTGGAACTACCTGGTCTCGGCGGCCCTCGACGGTGGCACCCAGGTCTTGGTCTTCCTGCTTACTTTCGCGGTCGACGGCGGGTCCGGCGCCGCCCATCCTTTCCCGTCGTGGGCTGGCAATCATGCCAATAATGTAGATTTCTGCGCGTATAATGCCGCGAATGGATAAAAAAGTGGTTTAATCTGGCTGTCAGATTTGGGAGAGAGCGGGCGTCCTGGGAGTTGTCTATCTATATATGGGTTAGCGACGATATACAAATATGTATGCTATGTATGCAATATGGCAATATGCCAACATCTAACGTATGATGGTGTATATATATACCTCCTCCTCGTTCGCTGATATCGTGAAACAAGCATCTCCTGCTACTGTCCTGCGTATCCTATGATTCCTATCATGCATCTTTGCCTTGTCCGACTCCGCTCTCTTTCGGGGTACGAAAGCGGGGGAAAGGGGAAAATAGCGCTTGAAACTTCAGACATAATGAATAGCAATGTGAGAGCCAAAAACTAGGATAGAGAGCAAAAATTGACTTGATTGATTGATGATATGAATGTTGTATATGAAAAACATAAAAATAAAATAAAAATAAAAACAAAAAATATATTTTCCTTGACATGAGTGAGGTTTGAACTCACGCCTCTTGCGAGAGCGGTGTTAGTTGTTCCGCTAAGCGAAACGCACTTAAAACCGCCGCCTTAGACCACTCGGCCATCATGCCATTTGATTTGTTCGGAATTCCTTCCCATTGGACATATAGGATGCAGAACATGTCTGTTTTATTCATGGATAGCTTGTTGATTGTCGAGAAGGGATATTATTGCTGGTATATTATTGATCATTGATTTTCGAGGCTAAATGTTTAGATTTATCTAGATTTGATTATATTTATACTTCTATTGATTTGTTATATTTCCTAGGTAGGTATGAAAACAAGATCTTTTCGAGTACCTATGCACTGCGGCACACCACGCTTCATCCAACGACTCTGCGATTCTCCAACGATTCCAACTATGCACATTCCTCCCTCCCTCCCAATAATCATCTTTCAAACAACGATGAAAATCAAAGAAGAAAAAAAGGTATTGAACATCTTTATTCCATCCAAGGACCCAGGCCGTCTAGAGTCCAAGTATCAGACGGAACGCTGAAACGAGAAGCGCCGCGACTCGTCCCACCAGGGTCTGGGCCGGGTATGGGGTAGGAGATCAGATCGGCCAGTCTGGATCTGCTACGTGAGTTGAGGGTTCTAGAAGATTGAGATTTTTGGGTTTTGGTGAGGCATGGGTTTCCTATCATTATTGGGGGGTTTTATTTTTATTTTTTATATGCGGTATAACTGTTGATGTTGGGGTAAATGCGGAATTGAGCGGCTTCCACTTTCTCGCCTAATCAATCGACCCCTATCTAGGTAGATATCTACCTACTCAGCTACCTTACCAACCAACAAGATTCATCCTTCTCTCTTCCCTCCCCTCTCCCCATTCAAAACCCGTCAAAAACTCTAATCAATACTCCCACGGACGCATAAAAGCAGAAGCCAAGTCAAAAAAAGGGTTAAGAAAAAACTCAAAATCCTTCTGATGCAAGCTCGCGAATCCTTCTACTTTGACGCAAAACAAGGCTCAAACGAAGGGTGCGCCATGCAAGGGTAGCCTGACATCCGCTCCGAGTTCTGTGTTGAAGATCTGGAAATCTGGAAAATCTTCCGGAGGAGGGTTCGTCGCGACTCGCGAGCTTGTTTTGCGTGATGGGATGGGATGGGGGATTCCTGTTTGGTGAGGGGAGACAGGGGGCCTGGTTGGATAGGGGGATGGAGGGGGGCATCATACGGTTTGGGTTTCAATCTGCGCGATGGTAAGGTAGGGACGCAAGTGAGTTAACGTAAGTAACAAGTCCTCTGGATCGGGTCTTGGGGCATGGCGACGAAGTATAAGAATGGCCTGCTGCGCTCGTTGAGATTCGTTCTCCCCATCATAATCAAGATCGATCTCAGAAAAGCCTGGTGCTTCGATATATACATTCATTACACCTTGTTTCTCAAAACTCAGTTCTTCGATAACTTATTTCTCTTCTCTTTGCCCCTCGTGCATATCTGCCTCTCGACGCATCTATTTTTTCAGCTGTATATTTTCAAATCGGATATCAACGACATACCCATTCTTTTTTTCGAATCTCTATTCTCAATTGCAAACATGAAGTTCCTCGCCATCGCCACTGTTCTTGAGCGTAAGTTGCGAAATGACCCTTGGATCTCATGATCATGATCATCTGCTAACTACCCTCAGTCGCCTTCCTGGTCGCAGCCGTCCCACCATTCGACCCTGCCGGAGCGAAGAACGTCGGAAACGGCGCCGGCGGACAGTTCATCGGCGGCCAATGCCTCAGCAATGCTGACTGCGGCAGCGGCTGCTGCGCCAACCCCACGGGTATCTGCTCGGGTCCGGGAGCCTCCACGCAGAACGGCAAGACTGGTTGTGGTTTTGGTAGCAGCGCTGCTGCCGAACCCGCCGCCTCACCTGCTGCCTCCTCTGTCACCGTTGCGACCACTGCCGCCGCCGAAGACCCTGCCACGGCGCCCACCAGCAATGTCAACGGCGGCCCGGCTTTCGACCCCGCGGGTGCGAAGAATGTCGGTAATGGTCAGGGCAAACAGTTCATCGGCGGTCAGTGCCTCAGCAGCGCAGACTGTGCCAGCGGCTGCTGTGCTGGTCCATCAGGTATCTGCTCGGGCCCAGGCGCATCGACGCAGGCCGGCAAGACGGGATGCGGCTTCGTCTCGAACAAGAAGCTCCTCAGGGTTTAAGGAAAGGGAAGGAAGGATACATATGGCAGGAGTAAGCAGGGTCATTTGATGAGCATTTCTCTTGTATTATTCCTCAAGGAATATTGTGTGGGGTTGAGTTTGAAAGGATCGTTGCCATGCTGGTGCAACGCGGGATATCCTTCCACGGAAAAGGGAGAGCCAGACTCAGTAAAATGAATACATGCAAAGATCTCTCTGTGCGCATGTGTCTTGTGACCGCCTTTGCAAACTGCTCAGTTCAGAGAGGCCCTACACTTGGATACAACAGTCTTGAATTCTGACTTGGGGATCTTCGAAAGGGTGAAGATGAAACACGAGACTGGGTTGGATGTATTCAAAACATGCCCTTCCAGAAATGTTGTGGATTTGTGACAGCAATCGTAGCCGAAGGGTTCGAAACTATTCCCCTGTCTATTATCGACACAGGATTGATACCCGGCATTTCCAGAATACAACAATGTGTGGTGGATGAATGATGGATCGAGTTCTACGCAAAGTCAGCCGCACGGAGTATATTTATAGTTGCAGCCTTGTCGTCAAGGCATGGAAACCTTGCCTTACCTGACCTTCCTGCGCTAGGCCTGAACGGGAAGTGACGACGACCCCTCCAGTATCTCCATCCATCTTCATCTCCATCTCCATCTTTCACTTGAACTCACCCACAACTCTTCCCAGCTCTCCATAACACCACCGCAGCGAAGATGCCCGTACGTTTACCACAATTCCTTCCATCCAGCCTCGCTCATCACCACTCTCGCCCTCCAATCCCCAACACCGCTCTAACAGGTATCAGGCATACAACAGCATCTTCAATGGCGAATCCTCACCGCATCTAATCGGGAACTTCCCCCTCCTCCCCCTCCGCACCAAGGTCCGCGGGCCTGCCTACACGCTACCGCTGGACCCTTCGCTGCCCCCCTACTTGTCCCCCGAACCCGATTCGGAATCCTACGATGCGCTCGACGAGGTGCTTAGCCTGTTCCGCGCAAACACATTCTTCCGCAACTTCGAGATCCAGGGCCCTGCCGACCGGTTGCTGATCTACGGCATTCTGTGGATTAGCGAGTGTCTGGGCAAGATTAGGCCGCAGATGAGCGCGAGGTAGGTATCTGTTCGGGATTCTGCGCGGCGTTGGTTGTGTGGAGAGAGGATGTGTGTCGGCGGCGCATTTTAGGCGTCATTAGGGAGATGGGGACTCTGAGTTGCGCGCTTCGTGGTCAATTTTATTTCGGCCTGCTGGGAATTGCATGCTAACCAAGGTGCAAAAATAGGGAAGCGCAAAAAGAAGTCCAAACAATAGCCTTAGACAACAACTTCTCTATCCCAGGTGAACCTGGGTTTCCCCTTAACCAGGTATATTTCTTCTAATTTATCCCTCACCTAACGTTTCATACTCTTCCTAACTTGCTATTTTCCACGAATAGATGTTTAACCCCCCCTCCTCCCGCCAAGAAGCCGAGACCCTGCGTCAATACCTAATGCAGGTGCGTCAGGAACTGGCCATCAGATTACTGGCTAGGATATTCGATGATGGAAACGGAGGGCAGACTGATAAGCCGAGTAAGTGGTGGCTGAGTTTTTCGAAGCGGAAGTTTATGGGGAAGAGCTTGTGAGACGTTTGAGCGTAAGGCCTAGGCAAGGCTAGGGACGAGGGAACAAAGAGGAATTCGGGAAGGTGGACTATCCATGAGGGTGGAAGGGGAGGGAGCTTTGACATCGCATGACTTGAAACGGCCGGAAGGACTGTATCTGCGTACAATGCTGTGAAGAAGCAGAAACCAATAAGATGAACGACCAATCAAAGAATTTCCTGGGAATTTTATATCTATACTAACTATATTCCGGGAAACATGCACTATAACACAACCATCTCCGTATCCCCAGTGTCCACCACCGCTTCTGTTCCCCCTTCTGTATTCCCTCCCTTAATAACATCTCCTTTCTCGGCCTTGTTCCCAGCCTCAGTCTTCTTCCTCGTGAATTTTCCCCTCGCCTCCACCCTCCCCTCCGCCGGCACGACCCTGACCCCCGTCCACAGGTATCCTTCCGCGCCCCCACGGCCCGTCATCATCGGGTGCGTCCTCCCCGGCAACACCTGCCACGGCCTCACGCGCGCACTCTGCACGCTCGCACCAAGCACCAGCGTCGGATTGAGCGGGAAATCCTCATTGCCCAGCCACTTCGCGATCTCGTCCTGACTTAGGCCCTCTAGCTCCGCCGGCGGGCGCTGCACGAACGCCGTGCGCCGCGACGTGCTGTAGTAGTCTGCCAGCTGCACCAGCGGCTCAATCGTCGGGCTGTAGATCGCGATCGGCGCGCCGCCGCGCAGCAGCGGGATCATGTGCTTCAGGATCGATGCCGGGTCCATGGAGCTCGCGACTGCGAGGCCGTCGAAGCCCCCCGCGAGCGTGCTGTCGACGATGTGCTTTATGCGGGTGTGCCGCCGCAGCTTGTGGAAGTAGGTTCCGCGCTTGCCGCTCTTCATGGCGGCGATCTCAGCGGGCGTGCAGGGAGCCGGCGGACACGCGTAGGTTGTATCCTGGGAGGGGGAGATGAGTTGGAGCCAGGAGAGAGGGAGCAGGTGGGTAGCGAGCGGGTGCTTGTGGCTGTTATGAGGAGGCGGGGCGTTTGGCGTGTAGTTGAAGTAGGTGAGTAGACTCAGGTTGGGTTGCGCATTTGTATGCACGAGGGTTATTGTATTAGAGGTTGCGAAATTGGGTTCGAGCGGTTGTGGATCTTTTGAGGGGTCTTCTGTTTCTGCTTCCACTGAAGAGTCGGGATTGGAGGAGTAATCGTCTTCTGGATATAATATGCCCATCTTCTCCGCCATAGCTGCGATTAAGAGACCGCCGGTTTCGTCCACCACCAGCCATCTTCCACCTCCTGTTCCTGGTGTGCCCTCCGGGTCCGAGGCAAAATGGACATTAGACCAACTCCCAATAAGCGCCAGCATCTCATCTCTCAGCTCCAGGGTCTTAGTCGCATCCTTCTCCTCCCTCAGCCAATTCGTTAGCAGCGGTACATCGACCGGCAGCACCGTAAACCGTCTCAAGTACTTCTTCGTCTTCAGAAGCTTGTACTTCGCCAATGAGAAAGCTGTCTTCTGTTCTATGCCCGTATGGCTCAGCATCAATTTCGCGATCAGGTCTTTTCCCGCCCCCGTCCCTTCACGTTTCAGTTCTTCGATCTCTTCCATGGTCAGTGTCTGCCGTGCCGAGTCGTCGATGATCTCCCGATTTGAGCGCATGACGACCTCCCCATTCTCCCCAACTAATTGAAATTCCACCCCATCGCCGCCAATAATAGCCTCCCCGTTCTGAGAAGGGTTCGCCGCAGCCTGCTCTTCCGCAATGGTATCGGCGTGTATTTCTGACGCGGGCACAATTCGAATGTCTGAGTCTTTGGCCCCTGGAGCTCGATCGAGGAGTTCGTAGGTTAAGTTGTAGGGACGGGATAGGATGAGATTTGCAGAAAAGGAGCCATATTTGCCTAGGGAAATAGTTCTGTTATGTTTCAGTATGGGTCCATGGGCTATGATGCAGAGAAATGAGGGGGAATAAATCTGCTCACTGAAGGCAATATCGACACTCACGTATTTGGGACCACCTGGAGCACTCTCATGGAGTCTGAGGGAAGGCGTAAAGCCACCCAAGAATTGGGCTTAACCAAAGAATGCATTTTTTCTGTAGGAACTGAAGATGCATCCTTGCGCAGCGCGAGGGAAGAGACGAGGCTGTAGATGGTCGGGCCCGGAAGAATTATTTTTTCTTCACTAAGCTAGATGCGGACATATTGATTCTCAGCCTTTTCGCCCGAGGCATCATTCGGCTGCCGTACCGTGGCTCAACCGTGGCTGTGTGGCGCAGTAGTGGTGTGGCTGATGGTGTGGCTGATGAAAGCTATCGATAGACCTCGCATTCGCATACGTACTACGTCGAATTACATAGGCAAGCTTCGCATTCTTGTTTCTTTGCCCGTTTCCCAGTGGAACGACGACTCTGATCTCCTCCACCATCCCCCACGAAAAAGAGAGGAAACGCTCGTTTTTTCACACTGCCGTTCACTCCAATTCTTCGCGGGATTCACGGAATGTCATCTTGAAGCTCTATGCCCTTTCTCAACGATCCTGGACTAGGCACCCCTCGGTTCGATCCAATTTGACCCAGAAGAGACCATTCGCAGGCCAGAGGAGGGTCTTTTGCACTCTGAGAGCTCAAATCGCCCCCGATATACACAATGGTCACTCGAAAACCTCTCCCGCCCACTGCGGACCCCAGTCTTACCCCCTCCATTCCACCTTACCCGGTCACTCCAACTTCTCCGAACATCCCTTCACCCTTCCAACTGCAGGACGTTCATAACGCCTCGCAATCGCCAGATGGTTCGAACAATGAGGAGAATGCCTGGATTGGAGAAGGCCTGGAAAAGACACTTGCAAATAAATCCAACGAGGTCCCGGCATCGTTGAGAGTTGGCGCACCTGCATTCACACCGCAAGACTCTCAGGAAATGCTGAGCCCAGCTACGAATACTCCAAACCCATATCTGCAGAGACAGGCTGAAGGAGGCATGGTTGATGGAGGAGAAAGTAGTGCTGATGCTTGGGGTGAGTCTGCTCAGAGACCCTCGCAACCTTCTGAAGCTCCTCGGCCTCCTGCTGTTCCTAGAGGTATGCTCTCCCAAATGACTGAAAGTGATGGCATCGTTTAATAGACGCAGATCAAGTACCTCTAACCCAACAATTCGCCAACCTGTCTGTTTCGGAGACAAGCACAAACCCGTGGCAACCAGCACTCAACGAGAAAACGTCTTCGGAAAATTCCACTGCTATCCCGTCAATCCACACACAGGATTCGGGACATGATATCTGGTCGCAGCCTCCTCCCGCGAGACCGGCGCCTACGGCCCCTGAAGAGCCACCCTTAATAGATATAGAAGAACCTGAATCTCCAGCTTGGGACGAAGATGAACCATCACCAGCGCCATCACCAGCGGTTCAAGATCCACCAGCCGGTAATACGCAGGAAAATCAGCAGATATTAGAAGACCAGCATGCCTGGGGCGAAAATCGTGATCAGGAACCACAACAACACGCAGTGGCAACACAATACTTGTCCCCAGAAGACTCGGCACAGCAGGGCGAAGGCTGGAATCTGATAGATCATGAGCCCATGAACGACGGACAACAGAGTGGGGTAATAGCAGATGGAATGGTGATTGAACGATATCCGAGCGAGCACCCGAGCCCAAACGAACAACCGCCCCCCGACTTGCCTCCACGAAGATCGCACGAGCAAGCTCCACCTCAGCCTCCACGCCCGGCCCCTGTTACGGCAAATACCAGTACTTCCTCACTCTCCAGCCCTGGAGCAGCTGCGGCTCGAAGACAAAGGAAAGAGACGTATCAAATCAAGAAGATTACCTGGCACGATGTCAATGCTGCTAAGAACCCTAGGGTATCCCCTATTATGGTCCAGAATGCCAATGGACCTTGTCCACTCCTAGCTCTCGTTAACGCATTGACGCTATCAACTCCTGCGAATGTGGAAACCGCATTGGTTGAGACACTTCGAACACGCGAGCAAGTGAGCCTGGGTTTCCTCTTGGATGCGGTGTTCGACGAGCTTATGTCTGGTCGACGAGGAGATGCTGCGCAGGAACTACCAGATGTGAGCGATCTCTATTCATTTTTAGTCACGCTGCACACTGGAATGAATGTCAACCCTCGATTCTTCCCTCCACCTCCAACAAATTCACCAGCCGATCCCCGAAATTCGATGTCACACGTCCACCCCGCCGAACGTGACAAAGCTGTCCCAGGTACATTTGAAGAGACCCGAGAGATGAAGCTCTACAGCACATTCTCAATTCCACTCATCCACGGTTGGCTTCCTGCTCCGGACTCTCCGGAATATGCAGCATTGAAGAGATCAGCGCAAAGTTACGAGGATGCACAGAATCTTATGTTTCATGAGGAGGTGTTGGAGGAGAAGTTGCACCGGGAAGGACTCAGTCTTGAAGAGCAGGCTACATTGGAAGATATCTCTACCATCAAAGCATTTTTTAACACAGCTGCCACACAGCTCACTCCATATGGCCTCGAAACCATTACAACATCTCTAGCCCCTGGTGCCGTGGCCATATTATTCCGGAATGACCATTTCTCTACCCTCTATCGACATCCCGAAACTTTACAACTACTTCAATTAGTCACAGATATGGGCTATGCGGGCCACGAAGAAGTAGTTTGGGAGTCACTTATCGATGTTAATGGGGAAAAGGCAGAGTTCTTCTCCGGAGACTTCCGTCTGGTTGGCGGTGCTCCCTCCGAACATTCGCCCCCCCATTCGAGAAACCCGTCACAATCCACCGAAGGATGGACTACTATTCCTGTTCGAAATAAAAACCAACCCCATCATAACCAGAGCCTTAGCTCCTCTTCTGCCTATGATCATAACGTCCAGATGGCGCACTCGCCCAAGACCGAGCAAGAAGACCGTGATCTTGCCCTCGCCCTCCAACTCCAAGAGGAGGAAGAAGAGCGCCACCGTAGCGAAATAGCTCGTCGGCGCCGCGAGAGCCAGCTAAGTCAACAATACATTGAGCAACAAGGTTCGGGAAGGAACCACATCCCTCCCATCCCACGAGCTGGTGGACGAAGTCATAACCGTGTTTCAAGTGGACCAACCCACAACCACGGTGATGATGAACCCCGGCCTGCAATCCCTCCTCGCAGGCCCGGTCCAGGAGGTCAACCCATCGGTGGCCAGCCCATCGATCCCGAAGCAGGCATCGACGCACCGCCCCCAAGCTATGAACAAGCAGCCAACCAGGCCGCGTATATCCCACCGGCTCACCACCCGAGCCACCCGAGCGCCAGTCCGTCCGCGCAAAGGAGGCCGAGCGGTTATAGCGCGAGTAGTCAGTCCCTGGGCCTTTCTCATAGCACTTCGGGAAGGGCCGGCAGGAGGCCTACAGGCCCGACGCTGATAGAGCAAATCGATGCGGTTGGCAACGCTGCACGGAGGAGAGCCAGCGCGCAAGCCTTGGCTCAGCAGCAACAGCAACAGCAGCAAGACGAGCGGGCAAAGGATTGTGTTGTTATGTAGCGTGCGTTGGTCGTATTTGGAGACTTGGCAAGCCATGACACGAAGAGAGCACGGGGCTTTTATATTGGATTCGGCGGCGTTTGGCATGAGACTATGAAGAAATGAGCGTCCCTTTCTCAGGTGTACACTTTATGAGGTGAACGGTGTTTTAAGGTTGTTAGTTTGGGCGTATGCACCCTTATGGATTCAGGACTAATCTACTTATCTAACGATTGTCACTCCTCCGTTGAACGATCCGCTGCACTGTTTTACTGTATGTGAGACACTGATTCGATTATGGATAGGTATCTAACTAGCTACTATTTCTGCTGATATACCTTATACTATCAATTTTCCTCTCTTCACTTTCTGCTGTTCACTAGAACCTGTCGCCGCCCAGTATAGTAACCTCTACATATACCATGCTAGGAACGAACATTATGGAATCAGCAATAAAGCCAGGAAATAATCAAGTAAAAAATAACCTGTCAAATAGTTTGTTTTTGTGTTTCAATTACTGAACAGCGTCATTAAGTAGGGATTTGGGGGGG